AGTTGCGAGGTGGTCGGACTCTTTCATCCTGATCTGATGGTAACCAGAGTACGCATCAAGGAAAGACAGGGTCTCGCACCCTGCAGTGGAATCAACAATTTGATCGATTCGAGGTAATGGGAAGGGGACCTTTGGACAGGCTTTGTTTAGACCGGTGTAGTCTACACACATCCTCCATTTCCCATTTTTCTTTTTGACTAACACGGGGTTAGCCAACCACTCTGGGTGAGACACTTCCTTGATGAACCCGGCCGCCAAGAGTCTCTGTACCTCCTCTCCAATGGCCCTGCGCTTTTCTTCGTCGAAGCGGCGCATGCCTTGCCTCGCCGGTCTAGATCCGGCCCGGATGTCCAGGGCGTGCTCGGAGACCTCCCTTGGTATGCCCGGCATGTCCGAGGGACTCCATGCGAATATGTCGGCGTTCGCATGGAGAAAGTCGACGAGCACGGCTTCCTATTTGATGTCGAGGGTGACGCTGATCCTCAGCGCTCGGTCGTCGGGGCAGGCGGGGTCGACCGGGATGAGTTTGATGGTTTCAGCTGGCTCGAACGCCTCGCCGACGCTTGAGGTCGTGCACCTCGCCATTGAGTTGGTCGAGGTGGGCGATGAGGGTCTCGGCCTCTGCAAAAGAGCTCGGCGTACTCGATGCATTCGACGTCGCAGTCGTATGCATGTTCGACGTGGACTCAATTGTGATGACACCGCTAGGGCCCGCATCTTGAGCTTGAGGTAGGTATAGTTGGGCACTTTGCCATGAACTTGGCATAGCACGCCACCCCAGGATGGCGTGGTAGGCTCTCAAACCCGACTACCTCGAAGGTGAGGACTTCCTTCGCGGTAGTTGGAGGGGGTGCCAAAGCAGACGGGAAGGTCGATGCGCCCGGGGTCGCGTCGTCGCTTCCCCGCACGATGCCGTGGAAGGTGCGACATCTCCTCGAGCCTCGACCGGCCGATCTCCAAGAGTTCGTGGTGTTGGCGTAGAGGATGTTGAGGCCACCGCCTCCGCCCATCAACACCTTGGAGAGTCGGGTGTTGTCGATGATCGGGTCGACAACCAGTGGGTACTGCCCGGGATTCGGAACATGGTCAGGGTGGTCATCTCGATCGAAGGTGATCGCCTCTCGAGACCAGTCAAGGTACTGGGGGGTGGCTACCTTGACCGAGAAGACTTCTCGGCGTTCCCTCTTGCGCTACCGTGACGTAAGGCATGCCGAGGGCCCGCCGAAGATCATGAAGGCGTTGCGTACTTCGGGGAACCCGTCGTCCTTGTCCTCATCCCGGTCGCCGGCGCCCTTCTGCTTGGCGTCGTCGTCGGGGAGCCCAAGCCTGGCGTAGTAACGTCGCAGCATGGAGCAATCCTCGAGGGCGTGCTTGACCGGGCCTTGGTGATAAGGGCATGGTTTCTTGAGCATGTCGTCGAAAGGCCTAGGGCCTTTGGGGCCTCGGGGATTCTTGCGTTCTACAGCCCCGACCAGATCAGCCTCCATGGCCTCCTGCTTCCCTAGGCGCCCCTTTTTCTTTCTCTTAGGGAGGTGGGAGGCCGAGGCGTCAGGGGCCTCGTCCCTCCATTTTCCCTTGGCGTCGCTGTCGGGGAAGATGGCACCGACGGCCTCCTCGCCCGAGGCGAAGTTGGTGGCGATGTCGAGGAGCGCAGCAGCGGTGCGTGGCACGTTCCGACCTAGCTCCCGCACCAGGTCCCGGCAGGTGGTGCCGGAGAGGAAAGCCTAGACGATCTCCGAGTCACCGACGCTGGGCAGCTCGGTGCACTGCTTGGAGAAGCGCCGGATGAAATCTCGAAGAGACTCACTTTGGTTTACGGCGGCAATTTAAGGTCCCAGAGTTTCGGGACGACGTGACGATGCGTTCGAAAATTCCCAACGAAGACCCTAACTAAGTCGCGCCTACCGTGGATCTGTGAGGGAGGGAGGTGCTCGAGCCAGCTCACGCCGAGTCTCGACAAGAGCAGGGAGGTTACGGATGATGAGCAGGTCATCATCCGCGCCACCTAGCGGGCAAGGCCAGTGATAGTCGGCAAGCCGAGTTCGGGTTGGTCTCACCGCCAGATTTCGCGAGGTTGGTGGGTTGTTGAAAACGGGCCAGAACTGGGCGACACGGATAGCTCTGCTGAAGACTCGAGGCCGTGGCTCGGAGAAGGGTTGCGGTCTTCCTCGCCGTCGTGGCGGCTACCTCGGTGCACATGGTAGCCTCGGGTGGGCCCTTCACCGTCGTGGCGCGCGCCGTCGGCCGACCACCTCGTGGTCTCCCCGCCTCGTGTCGATTGTCGAGGCGGTCAAGGAGCACGGGACCACAGAGCTATCGGTGCTCGAGCAGGTTCGGACGACAGCCGAGGCTTCCCTGTCCCGCCGAGGTGGTGCCGCGAGCAGTTCGAGACGCCCGTGCGTCCGGGGGCGTAACTCTCGGCTTGTTGAACCGCTGGCGGTCTCTAGGAGATCTCGGAGCTCGCCCATGGACCCGCCCCGCCCCTCCAGCGGTAGAAGGCTCGGGCATTGCGCGAACCAAAGACGCCGCAATGCTGCGATGTTCAGCTAGCGCGATTGAAGATCGGGGTTGCTCACTCTCTTCGCCGTTATGGATGCGGTGATGCACGCCGAGGCCCTTCGTCGGGCTCCCCGCCTTCGCCACGACCTCATTGTTCTGCTCAAGAGAGTCGCTGAAGCTGCTTGCAGAAGGAGTTGGTCTTGCTCGACCTTGGCCCGGAGCTCACGGAACTGTTCTAGGTCCGGGCGCCGAGGTCACGCAAGAGCGACGTTCTCATTCGTTTCAGGCGGCGGCGGCAGGACGGCGCGGAGGAGGTGTAGCGACGCCCGCGCCGGGGCGGAGCGGGGAACGGCTACCTGCCCCCTCGTCCTCTTCGCCCGCCCTCGGCATCCCGAGCCCGACATGAAAACATTCGCGAGTGGGGTCGTAGGTGCCTTCGTCGTCGGAGTCGGAGTAGTCGAAGCAGTAGTCGCTCGCGACCAAGAATTGGCGCAAAGCCCCATGGTTGTGGAGTTCGGAGAAATCCACCCCGGGCCATGCCTCGTCCTCGTCCGAGGAGTCGGAGTGGTGCTTCAGCCAAGAGCGGTTACCGGCGGCGTTCGAGGGTGCTCGTGAGCGGCAGTGTAAGCGTAGGCATAAGAGGCGGCGGCATTTCTCAACCCAAAGGGGTATGGGGATGGTGCCGTCTCCAGATTCTGCTCCGCCGGGGCCGGCTCTTCAGGGAGTGATGGAGCGGAGCTGGACGACTGGGCATCGCCCCGTGCCATAGGCAAGTCTCCTTTGTCCAAGCTCAGGCTAGACAGGTCCCCGACCAGGACCCCAGTACTAACAAATGGTCGTAGGATATCGGCGGGGTGGCGTGTCGCCCGGATTCGCAGAAGCGTCGGGTGGCCTTGTTCGTGCTGCGGCTTGGCGAAGCGCGGCGAGAGCAGCCGCCGGACGCCGCCAGCCACCTGGCTATCGGGCGTAACTTCATCGTTGGTTGGTGGGGCTCGAGGAGTGAGGAGCACCATGTCGTACTCATGCCCTAGAGACATGAACTCTAGGCTCCCGAACCAAACCACGGTGTCGAGGAGACGCAATGGTCGTGACGGGTCTCGCCATCCGGAACTCTCTTTGGGATGACGAAACCGACACGCAGCGGCCCCAACCTGGCGCGCCAACTGTCGATGTTTCGGACCGGGGGGTCCTCAACCGACAAGTGAATTTGTTCTGCGTGCTCCCGATTCCGGATGGTGATGCAAAGAGACACAAGGTTTATACTGGTTCGGGCAATCGAGGCCCTACGTCCATCTGAGAGAGATCGATCTTGTATTCCTTGCACCGAGGTGCTCGTCGTAGTAAGGGTTACAAGCTAAAGGAGAGAGGGAGCTGGTCCCGTGTCTCGGCAGGTGTCGTCTGGGCCGCTTGAGACGTTGCTCTCGGTCAAAGCGGGGATGTGATGTGTATGTGTGTGTGTTACAAGGTTTTTCCCTTAAAAACAACCCAAGTCCTCTCCTTTTATAGCATGAAGGAGGACTAGGGCGGTACATGAGCTGACTATACGGCGTCGTGTGAACAGAGGCGGCGTGTTCGGGCCCTGTAGCCTGTTCCTATGGCGGTGTGGCCGTCGGAGTGGTCCGTCCTTGGAGCACTGGGGCGACGTGGCCGTCCTATTAGATCCTGTGCGTCGTGGGAGCCCCGAGACGTGCAAGCCACTGTGGACGGATTGCGCGCGAGGCCGAGACTAGGTCGGTGTCGAGGCTGCACCATGGTGGAGGGTCTCGGCAAGCACGATCCCCAAGATGGCCGAGACCTAGGTGTACGGGCGCCGAGGCCTCGAGTGGGCGGCCGATCGTGGAGTACAGCAGCAGGGACACAAAGGGCAGTGGTAATTCCCGCCGTACCTGTCCCAAATTTGCATGGCGCAGATCGTGGATACAACGTTATGACACAAGCGGTGGCGGTAATCCCCGCCACCCCATCCAAATGCAGTATGGTGGATACTGATGCGACCTTTGGTCGCGTCGGCCATTCTCAGGGCGCTGAGCCGTCGTCCGGTTGAGATTGTGGGAGTGGTTGAAGCATTAATGGGACATGACACGTTGTCTGGAGGGTCGGTCGAGGCGGGGGGTGACAGGCTGCGGGCGACCCGGCCTCGAGCGACACGGAGGCTGGGGCCTCGCGCGAGACGGAGATCGGGTTCCTTGCCGAGGCCTTGCGAGACGCCTCGCGCGATACGGAGAATGTACCCCTGCCGAGGCCTTCCCTGGAGAGCCTCGGGCGAGACGGAGACGGCGCCCCCTGCCAAGGCTCGGTGCCCCCTGCCGAGGCCTACCCTGGGGAGCCTCGCGCGAGGCGGAGTTTGTTCCGAGACCTCCTGCTCGAGGCTCGAGGCGAGGTGGAGGAGGGCTCGGTCGTGGCAGGTGAGGGACCCACGGCTTACCTTCTAGCTTTATTTTGATGTTTGCTTGGGGTACCCCGTTCTAAGGTACCCGACAACTGGCGTACCTCAACCTCAGCAACAATGCGCTCACGGGGTCGATCCCGGCCGCCCTGTGCCGGCCCGGGAGCCGGCTCCAGAGCCTCTACCTCAACTCCAACCGCCTCGAGGGCGCCAACCCGGACGCCATCGGCAACCTCACGGCGCTGCGGGAGCTCATCATCTACGACAACCAGCTCGAGGGGGCCATCCCGGCGTCCATCGGACAGATGGCCAGCCTCGAGGTGCTCCGCGCCGGCGGCAACAAGAACCTCCAGGGCGCGCTCCCGCCGGAGATTGGCAACTGCTCCAGCCTCACCATGCTCGGCCTCGCCGAGACCAGCATCTCCGGCCCGCTCCCGGCGACCCTGGGCCAGCTCAAGAGCCTCGACACCATCGCCATCTACACCGCGATGCTCTCCGGGCCGATACCTCCCGAGCTCGGCCAATGCAGCAGCTTGGTCAACATCTACCTGTACGAGAACGCGCTCTCCGGGTCCATCCCGCCGCAGCTCGGCAGGCTCAGCAGCCTCAAGAACCTGCTGCTGTGGCAGAACAACCTCGTCGGCGTCATACCGCCGGAGCTGGGGGCGTGCGCGGGGCTCACGGTCCTGGACCTGTCCATGAACGGCCTCACCGGCCACATCCCGGCGTCGATCGGGAACCTGACGTCGCTGCAGGAGCTGCAGCTCAGCGTGAACAAGGTGTCCGGCCTGATCCCAGCCGAGCTCGCGCGCTGCACCAACCTCACAGACCTCGAGCTCGACAACAACCAGATATCCGGCGCCATCCCCGCTGAGATCGGCAAGCTCACGGCGCTGCGCATGCTCTACCTCTGGGCCAACCAGCTCACGGGGAGCATCCCGCCGGAGATTGGCGGCTGCGCGAGCCTCGAGTCGCTCGACCTGTCGCAGAACGCGCTCACCGGGCCCATCCCGCGTTCCCTCTTCCGGCTGCCGCGGCTCTCCAAGCTGCTGCTAATCGACAACACCCTCTCAGGCGAGATACCACCCGAGATTGGCAACTGCACGTCGCTCGTCCGGTTCCGCGCGAGCGGCAACCACCTCGCCGGTGCGATTCCTCCCGAGGTTGGTAAGCTTGGCAACCTCAGCTTCTTTGACCTGGGCTCGAACAGGTTGTCCGGCGCCATACCAGCGGAGATCGCCGGGTGCCAGAACCTCACGTTCGTCGACCTCCACGGCAATGCCAGCGCCGGCATTCTGCCACCGGGGCTGTTCCACGACATGCTCTCGCTGCAGTACCTGGACCTGTCGTACAACTCCATCGGCGGCGCGATCCTGTCGGACATCGGCAAGCTCGGTTCGCTCACGAAGCTTGTTCTTGGCGGGAACAGGCTCACGGGACAGATACCTGCAGAGATCGGTTCCTGTTCACGGCTCCAGCTCCTGGACCTCGGCGGCAACACGCTGTCCGGCGCTATACCGGCGAGCATCGGCAAGATTCCTGGGCTGGAGATTGCTCTCAATCTGAGCTGCAACGGCTTGTCGGGCGGGATACCCAAGGAGTTCGGTGGCCTCGTGCGGCTTGGTGTGCTCGACGTGTCGCACAACCAGCTCTCCGGTGATCTCCAGCCGCTGTCCGCGCTCCAGAACCTTGTGGCCCTCAACATCTCCTTCAACGACTTCACCGGCCGCGCGCCCGAGACGGCGTTCTTCGCTAAGCTGCCGACGAGCGACGTGGAAGGCAACCCGGGTCTGTGCCTGTCGCGGTGCCCCGGCGACGCCAGCGAGCGCGAGCGCGCGGCGCGGCGCGCTGCCCGCGTCGCCACCGAGGTCCTGGTGTCCGCGCTCGTCGCCCTCCTCGCCGCCGCGGCGTTCCTCCTCGTTGGCCGCCGCAGACGCTCATCCTCGTTGTTCGGCGGCCCGCGCTCCGACGAGGACGGCAAGGACGCCGAGATGCTGCCCCCGTGGGACGTGACGCTGTACCAGAAGCTGGAGATCAGTGTGGGCGACGTGGCGCGCAGCCTGACGCCCGCGAACGTGATCGGGCAGGGCTGGTCCGGGTCGGTGTACCGCGCGAGCGTGCCGTCCACGGGCGCGGCCATCGCCGTGAAGAGGTTCCGGTCGTGCGACGAGGCATCCGCCGAGGCGTTCGCGTGCGAGGTCGGCGTGCTGCCCTGGTGCACCACCGCAACATCGTGCGGCTCCTCGGGTGGGCCGCCAACCGCCGGACGCGCCTCCTCTTCTACGACTACCTCCCGAACGGCACCCTCGGCGGGCTGCTGCATAGCGGCTGCGGCGGCGGCTCAACCGGAGCCGCGGTGGTGGAGTGGGAGGTTCGGCTCTCGATCGCCGTCGGCGTGGCCGAGGGCCTCGCGTACCTCCACCACGATTGCGTGCCAGCGATCCTCCACCGCGACGTCAAGGCCGACAACATCCTCCTCGGCGAGCGGTACGAGGCGTGCCTCGCCGATTTCGGCCTCGCTAGGGTCGCCGAGGACGGCGCCAACTCGTCGCCCCCGCCGTTCGCCGGGTCGTACGGGTACATCTCTCCCGGTAAGCCGGCCGCCTTTTTTTTTCTCTCCTTCCCGTATACGTACAATGCAATCCCGGTCGTTCGTTACAGCTTAGTACAAAATCTGACGGTTGTGATTTGGTCTCCCGCGCAGAGTACGGGTGCTTGACTAAGATCACGACGAAGAGCGACGTGTACAGCTTTGGGGTGGTGCTGCTGGAGGCCATCACGGGGCGGCGGCCGGTGGAGGCGGCGTTCGGGGAGGGCCGGAGCGTGGTGCAGTGGGTGCGCGAGCACCTCCACCAGAAGCGCGACCCTGCGGAGGTGATCGACCAGCGGCTGCAGGGGCGGCCGGACACGCAGGTGCAGGAGATGCTGCAGGCGCTCGGGATCGCGCTGCTGTGCGCCAGCGCGCGGCCCGAGGACCGGCCGACCATGAAGGACGTGGCGGCGCTGCTGCGCGGCCTCCGGAGCGACAATGACGGCGCCGAGGCGCGGAAGGTCAGCGGCGGCGGCGGGTGCGGGGCGAGGCCGCTGGACTCGGCCAGGTGGGCCGCTGCGGCCTCCTCGCCTGCCAAACCCACGGCCCAACAAGCCCAGGCGCAGTCCACGTCTAGCTCGTTGGCGTACTCAATGTAATAGCGTCGCCGACCTAACTCAGATGAGGATCCATGGTGGCTTCATCTTCATACATCCAATTGGTTCTGACATGGTGACATTGACTGGACGTCGTCGAGCCTATGAACCGTCGGCGTGCAGACTGACCGCCGCGATGCTCGCCGCCAAAGCAAGGCGGGGTAGAAGGCGCGGCGGCGGACGCTCACTGTAATCACCGCCATGCAAATGCATGATCATGTGGATCAGATCGATCAGACGGGGTGGGGAAGATGAAGGCGCCACCATGAATCAATCAATGGATCGAAACAAGCAATAATTCCTTGTACCATACGCATAGCTGTAGAACAGTGTATCATGCACCGAAGTTAAGTTACCCAATGATCATGATTTTGACCGGAATCATTCGGCGTCGCCGGCCGTGCAAAATGTGTTTTATCGGCGGCCTGGTCGAAAAGGGAGAGGAACTGGCCGGCCGGCGGTGTGGGCACGGTATCAACGGCTGGTTCAGGTGAATGTTCCATGACCACGAGAGGACAGCTGGTAGGGCGTAGGAGACAGGAGGTGATGGATGCCCGACCTGATCTTCCTTCCTTCCTTCCTTCCTTCCTGTTCTGCCCAGCCACATGGTAGCCAAAGTCGCTCCAGCTGCAATCGTAGACCGGGCAGACTGTTGCTGATGCTGTTCCATGCATGCATGGACACATGATGCCGGAGGCGAGGTTGCCTGGACGGAAAGGTACGCACCAGCGGCTGGCCTGCGATCTGAATAATAGTGAAGCATTGCTCTCATCTTTTTCAATGCAGACGCCTCAAAATCCGGTACCTTTTGTGAAGCCAACTACTGAGAACAGGTACAATAAGCCATGTCAGCTTGGCTTATAGTCAAGACAGCTCAGCAAAATCCTAGGTGGATGAAAGAGAAAAGAGGAGAGAGAGCGAGCTTGGCGTCACAGCTTGCGCCAAGCGTCAGAACAAGAAACGATGCCGCAGAGCCGATCAAGCGCCGAACTCGTCGATTACGGAGGCTGTTTGTGGGCCCCTTTTCTTCTTTCTCGATCCCGTGCGCCTCGCCTGCTTTTCCCTCCTGCCGCAATTTTCCTCGAGCGCGCTCTCTCCCGCGGCGATTTCCCCTTCGCGCCAAATCCTCTCAACTCGGCACCAAATCCTCTCAACCTGGCGCCAAATCGTCTTCTTCAAGTGACGATTTAAGTTCTCCCAAAAATTTGTTCTATGATTTTCCATCTGCCGTAACCCTAGCCTTGGAATCGGATGTCTCGCCGGTCGAAGAGAGAGATGGCGCCGCCACCTCAGCCCTTTCCATGTTCCTCTCCGTCCGTCCCCATGCCGTCGGCGGCACCACCAGGGTCCTCCGGACCTGGGTGTTTCCTTGCGCCACCAGCTTCCATGAACACCACGATGGGGTCTGCAGCTCCCGGCCCTTGGTGGTGCGGGCCGCCGCTGCCCCAGCAAACTATGCCGTGGTGGCCTGCGCCTAGCTGTGGTGGTGGCGCCACTGCGTCGTCTTCCCAACCAGTCCAGAAAGATGACATCGACTCTGATCCAAAGGAATGGCAAGTACCTCCTGCGCACATCTTTGCATCTTTATTTTGGAGATCCTCTCGTTACTAGTACAGCCGGGCCGGCCGAGCTCCCTGCCTCCGTGGTGCCGCGCCGTTCCTCTTCCTCCACCCCAACCAGCTACCGCATCATCTTCCCCTTGCAGCACCGTAGCTTTCGCGCCCTTCCTCCATGGCCCGCCGCCGCCAGAGCAGCACGGCTTCAGGCCGCCGCCGTGACAGCTGTGGGGCGCTCGTGGCCGGGCCGCCATGGGCAAGCCCTGGCCGTGCTGAGCCTCGCCACGGGTGCGCGCTAGCCTCCTGGTACTCCCCCACAGCTCCACCGCCGCCGGCAAGCTCCCCAACGGCCGGATCCGCGAGCTACAGCACCTCCTCTGCTTCCGAACTGCAGTATTGGGGAGATGTTGCTACTGTTGTACTTGTTCATTCATTCTAGTACACTGCAGTATTCTTGGTTTGTTATGCTATAATTTTTTTATGAAAATGCAATGCAATGCCGTCGTCCTAATATCGTATATGCTAATGTACTAGTATTTAGATTCTAGAGCTTGTTAGTATCTAGCAATATGTATCCTGAATTCCTGAACACATATGAAAGGAATCATGGTTTTCACTGTACGAGTATTCCAATTTTAGTTGATTTCGTCCCTTTTTAAGCTGTTATAGCCATATGGATTTATTTATCTAGTTGCAGGGGTGTGGATAATCTCCCACCTGGTGGTTTCCTCAGCTATTTCAATCACCCATGGAGTCAGCCACTTTCCCAGCCGATCCCACCACATTTAGCTGATGGAAATAGAGGGAAAGGGAGCCCAGCAGTGTCAGCTTCTGGGTCTCATCCGCGACCCCAGCCCTTGATCAATTTAGACAATGATGAGGATGATGGAAATGGTGCTAGGATTGACATACTGCTAAAATGGACGAAGCCGGAGGAAGTGAGCTTGGTGAGTTACATTATATATTTGTTTTGTATATTCATGTATGTCTTGCATGGCTAACAACACTAAACTTGCTTGCACTGTAGGTGGTTGCATGGGTGAACAATTCAAACAATCCAATCAATGGCAACGGCAAGAAGACTGATCGGTATTGGGGAGATGTTGCTAATGAGTATAATAGTACCACCCCTAAAAGTAGAAGAAGAACAACAAAGCAATTGAAGGACCACTTTCAGAAAATTAAGAAAAAAGTCACTTGGTTCCGCAACTCATGGAAAGAGGCTACATCAATTTGGCCTAGTGGTCATTCTGATGACCAGATAATGGAGAAGGCCGAAGCTATCTATGAGGAATACAAAGATGGTCCATTTACGTTCAAGCATTGTTGAAAAATTCTACGTAATGAACCAAAGTGGCAAGTGCAACTAGAGGAAGGTGAGCAGTCAAATAAAAGGAATTTGAATACTGAGGGGAGTGTAGGAGAGCTCATGCCTTATTTGGCACAATCTGAAGGTCGTCCAATAGGCAACAAAAAGGCAAAGAAAGAGGCCAAGAAATGCCCTTCTCATATGGATGATGTTCTACAGCAGCTTACAAAACTTCAGGGCACAAATGAAAGTCGAGAAAAGATGTTGGAAACCCAGAAACACGTTTCAAGTGAGAAGCTTGAATCAGCTAGACTTAACCATCTTGCAGCCAAAGAAAATGCTAAGTCGGCTATGGTGGAGACGTACAGAGCACTCAGTATGAAAGATACAAGTGCAATGCCTGATGATGTCAGAGTTGAGCACTTGGCATTTATGAGATGTGTGAGGGAGAGTATATTTGGCAAAACTGAATCAGGTAAACTGATAAACTAAATCAGAGTTGAGCACTTGGCATTTATTAATTCTGTAAACTGATATTTTGTAACATAATTTTGTTGTACTTTGCTGATGTTTTTCCTTTTACAGATGCAAATGGTGGCTCTTAAAAAGAATCAGGTATGAATTCTGTGGAGCTATTAGTATCACTATTGCAATTAGTACTCCTGGTAATCGTGGAGTTATTACTGCTGATAATCATGCAGTCAACAGTAGTAAATCAGCTTCCTATTTCAATGCATACAAATTAGTACTGCTGATAATCATGCAGTCAACAGTGGTAAATCAACTTCCTATTCCAATGCATACAAATTAGTACTGCTGATAATCATGCAGTCAACGTTAATAAACCACGTAACTCTCTTCTATGCTCCATCTTTATATATTGCTCTTTCCTCTCCTCTCCTCTCAAACTCATCTTCTTTCTATCTCAAACAACTTTCCCAACTATGTCTGACTCATCTTCTTCTTGTTCTTATGATTCTGAGGAACTAGATCCAGCCAACATTATAGAAGAGTATATTGCCCAACAAAATGTTCTAGGCTCCATTGCTACACAGCTCATAGACACCTTCAACTTAGGACCTTCTCATCGCCAAAGTGGTCCAAGGAAGTGTATCCAAAGGGACCATGAAGGTGCTCACCAACGTCTTGTAGCAGACTACTTTGCTGAAAATCCCCTCTACCCTGAAAGGATGTTCCATACTAGATTTAGGATGCGAAAGCATCTCTTCCTGCACATCGTCAATGCCCTGAGTGAATGGTCTCCCTATTTCACTCTAAGAGCAGATTGTGCAAATCGCCAAGGGCTTTCACCTCTGCAGAAGTGCACATCAGCAATTCGCATGCTTGCATATGACACACCTGCTGATGCCCTTGATGAGTACTTGAAGATTGGGAAGAGCACTGCATTGGAGTGCTTAGACAAGTTTGCACAAGGTGTGATCGAGGTGTTCTCAGGGGAGTATATGCGTGCTCCCACAGTTGAAGATGTGCAGCGTCTACTTCAGGTGAATGAGTCTCGTGGCTTTCCTGGCATGTTGGGAAGCATTGATTGCATGCATTGGAGGTGGGAAAATTGTCCTACGGCTTGGAAGGGGCAATTTACCCGAGGCGACTATGGAGTCCCAATGATCATCCTAGAAGCAGTTGCTTCACAGGATCTCAGAATATGGCATGCTTTCTTTGGTGTGCCTGGTTCTAATAACAACATTAACGTGCTGAATCAGTCCCCATTATTCATTGAAGCATTGAAAGGTCAAGCACCTCAAGCTCAGTTTTCTGTTAATGGGAGGCAATATAACACAGGCTACTACCTTGCTGATGGAATATACCCAGAATGGGTAGTCTTTGTGAAGTCGATAAAAGCACCTCAGATGGAGAAACACAAGCTGTATGCATTGAACCAAGAAGGGTGCAGGAAAGATATTGAGCGTGCTTTTGGAGTTTTGCAGTCACGTTTTAATATCGTGCGTCGTCCATCACGTCTGTGGAAAAGGAGGAGTATTGGGAGAATAATGAAAGCTTGTGTCATACTCCACATTATGATAGTCGAAGATGAGAAAGAGATGGTGAAATTTCGTATTGACTTGAATGAGCAAGGTGGATCATCAATTGCTCTACCTCCAGAAGTACAAAAGGGTGGAGGCCCAATTTTCTCTGAAATTTTACGTAGAAGAGCAGATATCCATCATCAACCAACACATAAACAATTGAAACAAGACTTAATTGAGCATATTTGGCAAAAGTTTGCCAATAGGAGAAATAATTAGCTGTGCATGCAGTATCCTCTTTCTTTTACATGTAAGATATAACAGTTCACTAGGTTTATTATTATTTGTCGTACAGTCCATTAATATACTTGTCAATTTTTTATAGGTTCATGTTGGGGGTTCTTCCTGAAGACTAGAGTATCATCGACGGCTGCTGGTCATCAAGAGATATGGCTAAATAAATTGATAAACAGTGGATGCTAGATTTATTTCCAGGTCATTAGTGTAATAGCTGCTTATGGTAGTAGCCTTCTTTTGTTGATCAAGTTTCAGTTGCACTGCAGACCATGTTTTGTTCCTTAAACTTTTAAGTTTGTGTCGTCCTTGGTCTGATGCCGCGAATTTGGTTGTAAGAGCCATTATATTTTCCAGCGAACAATATTATTGCTTACTCAACCTGTTTGTTTTACTTCTGAATATGTCCATGCAACACAAGTGGCTACATAGATGTGTTTAGTGTTGATCCCCTGGTCCAGATGAACTGCAGTGACTTAAATATATTGTACAGCCAAACTAATAGCTAAGCTGATGTATCACTTTCTTCTGTGTTGTCTCAAGATGACATGGACTTGGCTTATAGCCAAGCTTGTTGGCCTTGCTCTGATGAATGCCAACAGGGAGATCCTTTTGGGCAGAGAGGAGATTGGTGCAGCTGTCCGGGCCATAGAATGTTCAGCACAATCAGAGCAGGGGATCACCAATGTGCCTGCTACTACTACGTACTGTCCCCAAATTTCTCACTCTCCATCCACTGGCCGTGGCCGACACACCAACTCCATGTGAAGAATGGCTTTGTCCAAGGTACTCTTACCATTACCAGTTGAAGCAAGTGTACGTATCTCCTAGCTAGCTTCATGGGTACGGCCATGGCACAGGTCAGGTCCGACGCTTCAATGTTGTCCCCTCAACGGGGCATTGGGCGCGATTTATTTCCCCGTCTACATTGTTGACACTTGACAGTCGCAAGCTTGCTGGTGTTATATTGTAGTTGGCTTTTATAGACACCTCGCTTTTGACGGACAAGCTGCCTAACATAGAATGAAAATGCAAGCGCACCATCTTCCTAGCAATAGCACAACAACATGCATCCTCGCCAAGGGGCTGCCTACGTCCGTCTCCCAAGAAATCCACTCCAGCACAACTGATCGATCAGGGCATCCGATGGCCGGTAAGAAACAGGGGCGGAGGAAAGCCTAGGGCCACTATGGCCACGGCCCTAGGCGTTGGCCTATTTTTATCTATACTGTAGCACACTGTTCCAAAGAGACTCAAATAATCTACCAAAATGAGTCCATGGAGTGGCCCTAGGCGTTGGACCAGCCTAGCTCCGCCACTGCCAAGAAATACTAGAGATTGATGACTTTTCGGTTTAACGCTAATACGCTATGCATGCATATATTGCGTACTCATCATTGCCGTTTAATCATGTCTTGGTACGTACAGCACAGCACAGCACAACTGAGCTGCTGCGTCAGGCTCAGGCAGCAGTCGGCACATCAGGGCGGCGGATGGACGAAACCGGCGTCGCACTCTCAGGCTACTATTGCACTGCATTGCATGCCAACCGCCAAGTGCCAAGGCAGGCATTATGACGACTGCCGATGGAGTTGTCTGGGCCAGAGAATGTCTGGTACGGTGGTGCTGGTGGGCCGCCGCGCCACGCATGCATTGCAGCTGCCGGCCCCGGGCGTGCGAGCATGGGATGCATGATTCCATGGATGAATGAGTGGGAGTCGCGCATCGCGCATGATTCGTATCGATCGTACGTACCCTGCTCGGCTGCCTGGTGTTTGGTGCTTGCGAAACAGAGGAGGAAATCCAGCCAGGTGCTGTGCATTGCCATGCGAATCTTTGGGCCCACTACCCCTGACAAAAGGAAACTTCTCAGCTAGAAGATCTCATCGTTGCAGGAAGCCCAATGAAAAGGACTAGTAGTCGTGATAGAGATGACACTGACACGTTGGCCAAATGTCGTACCGTGACAAGCTTATGCCAAAATTGCAAATGCGATTCGCAGAATATAAGTGGGCCGGCCCGTCTCGACTGACTAACTTAATGGGCTCTCACAAACCAGAGAGAGGGAAAAAAATGCATGGCTGGCCCGGTGGAGTCCACTAGGGCATTGGTTCTGTACTCCTGTTCTTGCCGATAAGATAGGAGTGAGAAAAATAAAGAGATGGAGACAACAAGTACTAAGGCCAAGAATTTGGTTGACCATAGATGTACAGTATGAAGTAAAAAATGCCAATAGATGCAAAGGGGGTTTATACAGAGAGGACAATTACATCAAATAACTAAACAAACATCTGTAAAAATTAAAGTAAAAAAGACAAAAATGTTGCAATACAAATCTAATTATCCGCGCTAGTTGCACAGACCACCTTGCCAGTTAACTCATATCAAAATGATACATTTTGTTATTAATGGGAAATAAAAAAGAAGATAAATCATTAGTTAATTATAGATATGGATGAAAAAACATATGGATCAATGGTTGATGAGTTTGTTGCAACCATATAGAGACTACAAATTATCTATATACATATTATGTTATGAAATGGATAAAAAGAAACATACAAATTAATAAGATCATTTTTATTATTTGCAAGTACTAAGCACAAACACTTAATGCTTGTTTTTTAAGATTCTAGCCGGTTCGAGACGCATGGGTCAATTGACTAGTAGTTGTTAACTAATAGTATCGATATGATCGATTGAGTTATTTTATGGAAAAGGATGACTAAAAGAAGAGAAATCATTAGCTACACATTATAAACACTCTGCGCTATAAAATGGTTTAGGACCTGTTTTATATTACTGCTAGGGCTAGTTATGGCTAAAATTTAGCCAAAAATAGCTAGAGGTAGCTAACAACTAGTCGAAGGATTGACTAAAAAAAATCTACAATTAGCCATTGTATCCAAACAAGCGATTACTCACTATAACTACAAGGACTGTCTTCATTACTTACTCATCAATTTTTTTTTGGATCGGGCAAACACACTCGTATTTCATTAAGCGGGTAAGGAGTTTGTGACAACAACAAGCAACAGTGGCGAGTGGTCTCCGCCCGGAACAGAAGCCTAACTACTGGATCCTTTAGAAAGATATTACATCCCAGCATCATGTCACGACCACGCAGGCAGCACGGCTGCCAACGTCGAGAACCCAGCGGCGTCCCAGTCCTCCGCCTCACGAAGAACGGCTCTGAACATATCGCGCAGACCCACGGACGATCTGTTGAAAGTCCTATTGTTCCTCTCCTTCCATACGCACCAAGCAACGAGCAGAACAGCCGTGCCGAACGTCGGGCGCGCGTCTGCTTGCAACAGCGCTCG